CTGTAAACCGCTTAGAGAGGGCTGAAAGCCCTATGAAGCGGTATATAAGTCTAACTGCTGCTATTGCTATTGCTATTCTTAGCTTCTCTTAATGTAACTAATCTGTTCCTACACAATTGGAAAAAAACTGGGAAAAACTACCAGGAGCAAAAGAGGATATCTCTGCTGCTAACATTCCTTTTGCCATTTTGGGTTCGCTAAAAGGAAGCCACACCCACCTGGCATTTAATTCCTGCCAAGCTGCAGCTGCAGGTTTCAGCATCACAAAACCCCTGGCAGTTACAGCCACAGTTCTCCCGAGAAATGCGAATCCTTTGCAGCTGCCGCTTCTCCTCTCTGTCGATCTTCTTGACTCCCATGGACTTGAGCAAGGCGCGCCTCTTCTTGGCGGTGTACGGCTGGAGGAAGAGGCCGTTGTTCAGATCCACATGGCTCATGTCGATGTCGTCCAATGAGATATCGTCTATGGTCAGCCGTTTGGCTTCCTCCGACTCCTTCGTACCATTCATAGTCAGCTGGATTGGGGAGAGCGAGACAAAGAAGACCCTCAGTCCCGCAAGGCTGCAAGCAAAGGCTACTTTGGGAGTTCAAGACTTTCTAGGCAGAGATCCATCCCCTTCTCTGACACAAAATTTGAGCCTGGCTGACTTCAACTCCCAGAATTCCCCAGCCAGCTTTTCTGGAGACTTCTGCTTCAAGAAGCTTAACCAGACTAGAACGGGAGCAGAAAGATGGAAAGGAACAGAGAACCATGCCTCTTCTGCTCATTCCAAATCTCAGCTTCAGCACAAAAGGACCCCAACAACACCCCACCACCGAAAGAAATTCCAAAAAAACTTCTCAAACATCCCGAGAACATTGTTCTCCTCACTGAGAAATGACAAATTAGGTTTCAGGACCATATTAATACTACCTCAATAAAGTGGGGGGGGGGGTTGGTTGTTCTGAGATTTAAGAAATAAATGAAAACTTTATAAAGAATGCAAAAATGTTTTTTTAAAGTAACTAACATGCAGCAAAAATTTCCCCCCAGGAATCCAAAACATTTTTCCAACTCTCCTCAAGTCCGTCAGAACTCTCAAGGAGAGTTAGTGTCCCCACACTGCCCCTAATTGTAGAGCTAAGTGGCTTTTATCTGTCTTTTGGGGCCAAGAGAAGGGGGAGCCTCAAGCAACTTGAGTTCCCTAAAATCTTCCAACTGATGACATGAAGAACTGAATCGGAATAGAATAGAATAGCAGAATTGGAAGGGACCTTAGAGGTCTTCTAGTCCAACCCCCTGCTTCACCACTTCAGACAAATGGTTATCCAACATCTTCTTTAAAACTCCCAGTGTTGGGACATTCACAACTTCTGGAGGCAAGTTATTCCACTTATTAATTGTTCTCCCTGTCAGGAAATTTCTCCTCAATTCTTAGTTGCTTCTCTCCTTGACCAGTTTCCCCCCCCATTGCTTCTTATTTTATTCTCAGGTGCTTTGGAGAATAGAATGACTCCCTCTTCTTTGTGGCAACCCCTGAGATATTGGAACACTGCTATCATGTCTCCCCTAGTCCTTCTTTCTATTAAACTAGACATACCCAGTTCCTGCAACCATTTTAGCCTAATCCTCTTTGTTGCTCTTCTCTGCACTCTTTCTAGAGTTCTGCATCTTTTCTACATCGTGGCGACCAAAACTGAATGCCGTATTCCAAGTGTGGCCTGACTAAGGCCTTATAAAGTGGTATTAACCCTTCACGTGATCTTGATTCTATCCCTGTTTATGCAGCCTAGAACTGTGTTGGCTTTTTTTGGCAACTGCTACACGGGGCTGACTCATATTTAAATGGTTGTCCACTAAGACTCCAAGATCCCCCTCACAGTTACTACTACTGAGCAAGGTACCACCTATACTGTATCTGTGCATTTGGCTTTTCTTGCTTAAATGTAGAACCTTACTCTTTTCACCCTTGAATTTCATTTTGTTAGATATCAAGTCATCTGGGACACTTGCCAAGAAGAAAATTCTTACTTTTGATTTAAGGGCTTGCAGCTTCTCTTCTTTCAGCCTGTCCTTCGCCTTCTCTTTCCGGACGATCTGCTGCTGTTTGCCAAACTCCGAGATGGTGAACTCCCGGGAGAATCCATGCTTCCTAGCCATCCCCAAAGTGCAGCCCCCATAGCTAGGCACGGTGGTGAATCCTTGGCGACGTGGGAAATAGAAAACGGTGACCCGGTCGAATTCGACGTTGGCCCGCTTCTGCCGCTTGCTTTTCTTCAGGATGGAGGTTGCTGCAGGAAGAATGAAGGAAAGAAATTGAGTTTTGACTGCCATCGCTCTTTTGATAAATGTCTTTTTTCCCCCTTGTGCAACTTCCCTCTAAATTAATATTTCAGCACCTTTAAGATGCGTGGACTTCAACTCCCAGAATTCCCCAGCCAGCATTCTAGCTAGGGAATTCTGCTGAGATTGAGAAATATGTGTCTAAATCAATGAGGACTAGGAGCTTGCTTTTTCATTCCTACTAAAAGACAGCCATGATAGCAATAGCACTTCTCAGTGCTTTACAGCCCACTCTAGGCAGGGTTAGCCTATCACCCCCAAAAATATGGGTCCTCATTTAACAGACCTTGGAAGGATAGAAGGCTGAGTCCACCTTCAGGGACTGAGGGAATCGAACTACTGGCATTCTAACCATTGCGCCACCACAACTCTTGATATGTGATATTACAGGTAGTCCTTGACTAATGACCGATCACTTAGCAACTGTTTGACTTTATGACAGGAAACCCCCCCCCCAAAAAAAATTTGGTCGCTTAGCAACTGCCCTGTATTTGCCACATCCACTGGTCACATGACTGCAATTTATGACATTTTTGCCAGAAATCAGCATTTATGTTTCTAGCAAAATAAACAAACAAACCCAAAAACCTGACAGAGGAAGAATGGGTTTGCTTAACAACCACAATGTTCACTTAAAGACTCCGGTGTTCCCTTTGCAACCACTGCATTTGCTTAATGACCATGGAAACAATGGTTGTAGATTGGACAAAGTAATATGGCGACCTGTTTTATGACTGTCACAACTTAGGACTGAAATTGTGGGCCTAGCTATGGTTGCAAATCGAGGACTACCTATACTAATAAAAAAAAATCAGTAATAACTATGTATCCCATTTACACAGGCAAAAAACTGGCTAGGCACCCACCAGGCAACTCAATTGCTACAAAATATACTGCTAAAACTGTTTCCATTTACAAGATAAGTTGTATTCCTTTGAAGAATGTGAATGCGTACTTGTTTTGTATTCCACACTAAGAAAAAACAGGAATGCAACCTTTCCAACAAAAAGTAACTCAGAAAAAAAACCCACAAAGGACCAAGTTCTTAACCTAGTTAACTTAAAGAACTGGATCTTTTTAAAATCTTGGAAAAATTCTGGCCCAGGCAATGAAAGCAAAATACGGGGAAAGATGGTGCCTGTTTTATCAGACTAATCCTAAACAGTTTCCCCTTCAAAACAGCAAAGTCTCTTCTTGATTTATCATTTGTTTATTTAATATCCTATCCCTATTATTATTTTTATAAACAATTCAAGGTGTTCAGGTTTTATAAAATTAATTTTATAAATGCACCAGCAGCCCTCGACTTACGACCACTGAGCCCAACATTTCCGTTGCTAAGCAAGACAGTGGCTAGGTGAGTTTTGCCCCCTTTTGCAACCTTTCTTGGCACAGTTGTTAAGTGAATCACCACAATTGCTAAGTTAGTAAGAGAGTTGTTAAGTGAATCTGGCTTCCCCATTGACTTTGCTGGTCAGGAGGCCCCAAAAGGTGATCAGGCGATATCAGGAAACTGCGACTGTCATAAATATGAACCCATTGCCAAATGTCAAAATTTTGATCACATGACCATTGGTCACAGGTGTGAAAAACAGCCATAAATCACTTTATTCGATGCCATTATCACTAAACAAATGGCTGCAAGTCTAAGACACTGTATTAAAAACATTTTTTTCAAACAGCTTCCATTTATGTGTTTATTTTATAAACAGCTGTCATTTTTTTTATAATAAGCTTATTAGTTTATAAACAGCTTCCACTTCATCTTCACAATCGCCTTGTGAGGTTGGCTACAAATTTGGGTCTGGGGCTCAAGTTGATGTCTAATTGAAAGGCACCACACTGGGTAAGAGCAGCTTAAAGCTTCCTTCCCTCTGCTAGCCTGGCTCCAACCTGGCATCACCCGTGCTCACGTTTCCAGCCACTCTCCTCCTCCACTCCACGTGCCTTCCCTGGCACGGCTATTCCTGCATGTGCCACCCGATATTCAGCTGGCTTTTATTCTGGCCGGAAGCCAGGCCTGGCCCCTCTTCCTTCCCTCTGCACGTGCACTTTCAGAACTGAGCTCAGATGCTATTTAGGTAGGGGTGAGTTTGCAAGAAAACTTCCCCAACTCACCTTCCACCCACTGCATGAGCTACTTGTGGGCCTGCAACCACACAGTGAAATATTCGTAAGTGTTCTTCAAAGGCCCGAATTGGCTGCCTCTCTCTGCCATCCTCAAGGAATTATGAAGGGTATCAGCAGAAGCAAAAAAAAAGTCTCTGCTTTCTTCTTTTAAAAAAAGGAAAGCCCCATCCCCACCTCACTATTTCCCTGCAGACAGAGAGGAATGCAAGCCCTATCTAGCAAGGCTGCTGTGAGACCTTTGACTTCTTCCCCAGCATCTGCCTTGAAAAGCAGCTGCCATACTCTTCTGCACACAGGTGATCCCTGCAAAAAAACTGGGCACTTGAGCTTTTTATCTTAAAGAGGCAACCTGTGGAACAGGTTTTTTTTTTATGGGTTTTAGAAAATGTTTTAATCTCATTGCTGGGATTAGGGCTTTCCTCCCCTCCTTTTGGTTAAAGCACATTTACGTATTTTTTTCTTTTTCTAAAATCAAGGATCAAAGAGACGACAAGGCAAAGCAGAAAAAAATAAACGGAGAAGCCGAGCAGACTAGTAAGGAAAAGACAGAGTGAGGGTGAATGAGGGAGAGGAGGATGCAAAGATGAGCTCTTGGTGGGAATGTTTCTCCCCTCCTCCTTCTTCCAGCCTTGAGACCAGGGATGACCATGAGAGCAGCATTGCAATATCTATGGGGCTGCCACAAAGGAGAAGGGGGTCAACCTATTCTCCGAAGCACCAGAAGCCAGGACAAGAAACAGTGGATGGAAACTCAGCACGGAGAGAAGCAACCTAGAACTAAGGAGAAAGTGGGGAAAATTGACCAGTGGAACTGTACTATAAGTTGTGGGTGCTCCAGCATTGTTCAAATTTAACGTAGACGGCTTTAATGTAAATGGATGTAAATCGAACAACCAGCTCTCAACAGAAGGGGAGGAGTACAACACCATCTATATCTCTTGTTTACGACACGGTCTTTTCAGCAGTTTCAAAAAAAAGTTCCACACTCATTTGCACTATTCAGACGACTCTAAGGGCATAGGTAAGCCTGCAAGTGGCCTGAACGACTCTCAGAAAGAGGGCCAACAACCAGTTGTCTGCAAGGAGTGTACATCCTCCCATTCCCCACCATTCAGTCAGAACTGAGGAAGCTTCTTGGATGAGAAGTGAAATGCCTTCAAGGGAAAACACAGGAAGCCCAGCCGCCTCTTGAAAAAGCACCCTTGGGACAACCCTGACTTGGGTGACTGAGAAGGCATTCAGATTCCTTTCTTACAGTTCCTCCTTCATGCAAAACCCACGTGTGTGCTACTTTGAGCATCAAAGTGATGGGATGAAGTATTGTCCTCTCCTTAATAATTTATTAGGGACGAAAACTTTGTGGTTTGCAACTCTGGGCTTTGCAAAACCTGGCTAGCCCCAGGGCGATTTAGTTTAAGCTGGCAATTTGCAGGATTGAATTAAAGAGAGATGCATGGGGGGGTCAAACCAATCTGAGTGCATTCATAATAGACATTGAGCTAGATCGATCTGGAATCCATTTACTTAAAATGTGCTTCCAGATATTAAATAATGAGAACTGAGCTTCTGGAGAGAAAAAGGAAGAGCTAGGAGGCGAACAACAACCAAAGAATCTGTGGTCAAGAATTAAAAATGCAGTGATAAAGTGACCATTCCTTGCAATCTCTGCAAACCTCTTACAGCAAGGGATGCTCTCAAAGCCAAACTGGTCAGCTGAGATCAGAATTCCTTGACTTACAACAGTTCATTTAGTAACTGTTTGAAGTCACAGCGCCACTGGAAAAAAGTGATTTATGGCCATTTTTCACTTGTTGTAACCATTGTGGCATCCCCATAGTAATAGGACCAAAATTCAGAAGCTTGGCAACTGGTTCACATTTACAACGCTTGCAGTCTCCCTGGGTCATGTGATCCCATTTTGTGACCTTCAGACAAGCAAAATCAAGGGGGAAGCCAGCTTCATTTAACAACCGTGTTACCAACTTGACAGCTACAGTGATTCACTTAACAATTGTGCCCAAAAAAAAGATCATTAAATGGGGCAAAGCTCATTTTACAAATTTCTCACTTAGCAACATAATTTTGTAAAAATGCAAGTAGAAAAATAGGAACCACCTTTGGTGGGAAGGTAACAGCGTTCCATGAGTCTTTGGCATTTAGTCATGCCGGCCACATGACCACGGAGACGTCTTCAGACAGTGCTGGCTCTTCGGCTTTGAAACGGAGATGAGCACCACACCCTAGAGTCAGGAATGACTCAAGCACGTATGTGCGAGGGGAACCTTTACTTTTACTACTTCCCCTTAGGAGCTTTTCAAAAAATTAATCAAAGGGGAGCAATCTCACCAGAATTGAAAACTTTTATTTTTGATTTTTTTAAAAGCCCGTCTTCTGATTCAAATCATTTGCTTGTACAAAGATATCCCAAAGTCGGCTTTGAAAATATGTTATGTCAATCCAATCCTTGCAATGCTGCTAAACCTTCTCCATATTAATATTATTGCTCCTTTCCTGTCACTGTTTCTGACAGCTGTTTTCAACTCCTAAACCCAACACACACAGAGATAGTCCTCGACTCACAACCACAATTGAGTTCAAAATTTGAGTGAGACAGGTGTTAAATGAACATTGCCCCATTTTACAACCTTTTCTTGCCACAGTTATTAAGTGAATCACTGCCATCATTAAGCTAGTAACATGGTTGTTAAGTGAATCTGGCTTCCCCTTTGACTTTGCTTGTCAGAAAGCTGCAAAAGGTCATCACAGGATCCCAGGACATTGCGACCGTCATAAATATGAACCAGTTGTCAAGCATCCGAATTTTGATCACATGACTATGGAGGGGTGCTGCAATGCAAGTGTGAAAATTTGTCCCGTCACTTTTTTAGTGTTATCTCACCAGAATTGAACAGTAAGTAAATGAAGTGTTCATTTTACCTGTCTTGCACAATGTGTGACAATTAACCTGTATTGCACAATGTGTGACAATTAACCTGTATTGCACAATGCGTGACAATTAACCTGTATTGCACACAATGTGTGACAGATGTCAAAAGGCCACCTAGCCCATAGCTATTTGAATGTTTTGCAAAATTAGGCATTCAAAAGCTACTGAAGGAAGATTGTCTGGCTTCGAAATTGAAGACTTGTGGTTGTGAATACAATTGCAGAGCCTCAACAGTGGGTTGAGCCTGGTTCATTCTCACAAAAATAAAAAATAAAAATAAAGAAACATGATACTTACGGGTGAAATCCATGTTTAAGGCCACAGTGGGCTTGATGCCTCCTTGAGAGATTTCTTCGTCAGATTCCCAACCTGACAAAGCTGAGGAAGATGAGAAAGGAGATGATGATGATGAAGAAGAGATGTATGAAACATCATCTTCCAATTCATCATGTTTCCGTTTTAGCATTCCTGCCATGATTAGGATGAGATTTTTCTTCTATCTGGGTGAAAACAACAAAAAGAAGAGAGATAACTGTGAGTAACGAGTCCAAATCTTTTTCAAAGGTATGTTCCGATGAAACGTCGCCAGGCAGAAAGTTTTCAAGAGGTTCTCGCCAACAAGCTGAACCTGGAAGACAAGGTTCCCTCAACTCAGCCAGCCCTCAACTCTTCAGATGAGCTTGGACTACATCTCCCATCTTCCCCGTCTACCAGAAACCCCCATTGTTCTCCTTCAAGGCATCCATAATTCCTTCACAAACAACCTGATGCCCAAACTCAACCCATCTCCTTAGGACAATTTTCAGGGTCAAGATCAGCCAGGAAACCTAGATGATGCCCTTTGGTTCTTCTGCAGTGATTTCTTGGTATCCAGGCTGGCCTGAGAAGGGGCTGCTGATAGAAAGGAGTGCTTGAAAGCCCCCTGGTTAGAGAAGTCAAATTGTACTGAAGGTCGCTCTCGAAGAAAGGTTCTACATGCCCCAATCCAAGATGTTGATAGCTCCAAGCATAGACAACCCCCCCCCCACATGAGACTTCACTTTCTCTAGCTTCTTCTAGGACAGAGGTCCCCAAACATGGCAACTTTAACTTTATCTCCATCCTTTCAAGTATGAGAAGGAAATAATCACAAACCTCCAGATCGAGGGAGGGAGGGAGGGAGGGAGGGAGGGAGGGAAGGAAGGAAGGAAGGAAGGAAGGAAGGAAGGAAGGAAGGAAGGAAGGAAGGAAGGAAGGGACTTAAGAATAATTCCCAATACAGTACTATATTTCAACCCCAATACAATGCACGTAAGTGAAGAAACCTAATTTCTTAATTAACCTTATTTATTAATTAATTAATGGTGGGAAAGAGCTTTTAGTAATTTATCTCTCTTTGTGCACCTTTAAATACATCAATCCTACTGACAATTTTCATGCTCAGTTTTATTAAGTTAAACTGCAAAGTGCTGCGGTTGTTTTAATCATGACTTGAGCACATTGCTCTTCATGATATAATTATTCAATTGGTTGGCCCTCACTGCTTCAGCCATCATTGCTGAAATGGGGGTGGAAATAGCTAGGTAAATATCCTCTTCCTTCCTTCCTTCCTTCCTTCCTTCCTTCCTTCCTTCCTTCCTACCTACCTACCTACCTACCTACCTGTGCAATGCCAGTTTATCAGCTAGTCTCTTATAAAGGATTCCTCCATAGAGGAGGCTGCTCACTGGGTCTCTGCATGCTCCCCTGTTCTGCCCTCATCTCCCGGTTCTGCTAAGGGGTAAGAAACTCTGACCTGATAAGTCTAAATCAGCCTTTTTCAAATTTGGCAACCTGAAGTATGCCAGCTGTGGAATTCTGGGAGTTGAAGTCTACACATCTTCAAGTTGCCAAGTTAAAAAAAAAAAACCCACAGGTCTAAATTAAAAAAAACAAACAACAGCAACAACCTGAAACAGACCGATCGACAAGTACGACTAAGGGCAAGTGTGCGAGTGGCTGGTTTCTAGGAACAGGTAGGCGTCACCATGTATTTCAGAAGTGAAACAGCCAGAATATCAACCTGCCTTGTGTTTTAAATCCAGACTTGTGCAAAAATCTAGCTTCTGCAACTCTGGCCCCAAACCAAGGGGGTGTCAGCGTGGAGTCCACCACCCTGACATAAACACACAGAAATCTCATCTCATCTTGATGGGTTTGCCAACAAAGACATTTTGTTCTGATCTTCCAGTTCTTTACTCATCTCGTTTGACCGAGAACAGCCTTTATAAAACAAAACAAAACAAAAAACTTTTTTTTTTTAAAAAAAAACCCACCCCTAACCAGAAACACGATGAAGCAGATCAAACCCGCAGGAATTCCTTTCTGGCATAGCGAGGCTCTTCCTATGCTGGGAACACTTTCCCGAGAAAGTATTCAGGCCAGATGTACATTCTTCTCCGATTCCAACATATCTTTTTATTCGAAAGGAAGAAAGTGCAGGTCAGAAATGGAAAGGAGGAGAAAGGAGGTGGGATGGATGAAGGGTGTGTGGAAGGACAATGCAATCAGCTCGGAAGTTTGCAGAGGTACCAGGGCTTAAAGACCCAAATTCTCCTCCCAATCTGCTACAAAGGCAAGATCTTTCAGGGGGGGGGGGGAGAAAGCTTTCAAGGCCCCTTTAAAGTGGTTTGAGGTTGCCCCAAAGGACGGACACGGTTCCCCCTCCTCCACACATACACTCAGCAAAAATAAATTGGCAAGGAATTAACATTTGAAACCTGCATTTGTGTAAATGCACAATGCCAATGAGTGGTTTTTTTTAAAAAAAAGAACACTGCCCTGCTGTTGTTTGTTAGCATGACTGCTTAAGGGTGCAAGAGAGCTAGTGAAAAAAATTGGAAAAGGATCCTTCCTTTTGGAGGTGATTCTGCAGAGCTGAAACTGGATGGCTCTTGATTGGCTCCTCCTTTTGTAATCCCCAAAAAATGCAAACGTTCCTTTGGAACCAAGGAATTCAGGCCGTCTCTCAGTCAGCCAAAATCTGTATTGCACAACTAATATTTCTTGATTGGCCTGTCAGAGCTGGAACCTGCCAAGATGCCCAAGATTTCAATATGGTGCTCTTAGCACTTGCTCATCCAGTTTTTTCCTTACAATATCCCCTGCAAGATTGGCTGGGCAGAGGAACAGGGTCAGGGCCAAAAGCACCCAAACCTCCTTAATTCAAGACTTATCTTTTTCCGCACTGTTAGAAAGCAGAAGATGGTATGTTCTAATCCAGGAGTCTCCAACCTTGGCAACTTTATGACTTGTGGACTTCAATTCCCAGAATTCCTCAGCCAATGCGCTTCTGGGAATTGAAGTCCACAAGTCATAAAGTTGCCAGGGCTTTAGAAACCTCTAGTCACTCCTTAAGCATAAAAGCCATCTGATTTCAGCCAATCACCAGGAGACAGTGAGTTCTAGTCCTGACTTGGACACCAAAATCATCTGGGTGATTTGGGGCCGATTCCCCTCCCCTCTCAGCCCAACTAACCTCATGGGATTATTGTTGTTGTGGGAAAAATAGGAGGAAGACGGGGCATTGGGCCTCTTTGCCACCTTGAGTTAGTTATAAAAATAAAAAAGTCAGAATATAAATAAACTTGGTGCTCCTTCAAATAACAGATGAAACCCCCCCTTGCAGTCTTGGGGATAGAGAGGGGGTTGGACTAGATGATCTCCAAGGTCCCTTCCAACTCTGTTACTGTTACTATCCCCTGTACTATGTTGGAATCACATAAAACACATGTACTTCTAAAAATAAAAGTTCTTCGTAGATGATCAGAGTCAAGCTACTTTCCCACTTAAAAAAAAAAAGCACTTCAAAATTCCAAATTTGCTACACAACTCATTTCAATCCCAACAGAGGAACACACAAACACAGTGCCCCCTGGGCATGTGCAAAGTGCTTTCCCTTCCACAACATTAAGCGCTTGCTTTCAGAGTTCAGGGGCACCTCTTAAAGATTGTGATCCTTCTTCCTTTCTCCCCAAAAACCAATCCAGCGCCCAGCTGCCCTGAATGTACGAAAGCACACTGTGTATATAAAGGGAAGCTAAGGACATTTGGCTTTAAGAGTTTCTTTGGCCTCCTGGTGCCAGCTTGGGTGCAGCCTCCGGAAGCCCAGCCAGCCTCTTTGGCGCTGCCACACATGCCACGGTGCTTTCCAAAGCTGGTTTCAGCTACAGAAGCCATGCCAGCTGTGTGTGGGTGCTCATGATTTACTACCGAGACTGATTTACAACCAAGCCACTACTTTGAGAAAGAAACCAACAGGCTTATGGCACCAAACACCGCCACCCACATCTCTCCAGTCCTTGGGCTCTTAACAGCCATCTAGTGGGAATCTATTTCCAGACCTCTGTGCCATAAATAACAGCACTCGGTTTCCTGAAGAAACATCCTAAAAAAAAAAGCCCAATGATCAAGATACTCCATTGCAGTTGAGGAAATCTGAATCTTCACACAGAAAAGTGAACAGCTACGATTCTGAGTGTAGATTGGAACTCAAGGGGCTGAGCATCAGCCGAACGTGCCTACAGATCCAATCAATCAGAACAGAGCTGAAAGGGACCTTGGAGGTCTTCTAATTCACCCCCCTACTCAAGCAGGTGACCCTACACCAGGGATGGCAAAAGAGAGCACTTTGTGCATGCTTTGTCTGGGCCGTGACCAGGAAGAGGAGCTGCCCAAGGGACATGCGTGAACTGGAAAACGAACTTTCGGTTTCCAGCACATGCATGCGCACTGCATAGCAAGTGTTCCAGCTGTGTGCATGTGCCAATCAGCTGGCTGGCACACATGCTCACCCCGGAAAACCAGCTCTTCCGGCTTCCGGCACTGCCGCACGCACAAAGGCCAGCTGATCGTCTGGGGTGCATGCATGCCAAAAATGCGGTAGAGGAATGGTGGACGCCGCACATGCCAGGTGACACCACTCCATGTGCAACTTTGGGCATGCATGCCATGGGTTCCCCATCACAGTCCTACACAATTTGAGACAAGTGACTTTCCAGTCTCTTCTTAAAAACTTCCAGCACCCCAGAATTTCTTGGTGGCAGGTTGTTCCACTGATTAATTGTTCTCACTGTCAGGAAATTTCTCCTCAGCTCTAAGTTGCTTCTCTCCTTGATTAATTTCCACCCATTGCTTCTTGTCCTACCCTCAGGTGCCTTGGAGAATAGCTTGACTCCCTCTTCTTTGTGGCAACCCCTGAGATATTGGAAGGCTGCTATCATGTCTCCCCTAATCCTTCTTTTCTGCAGACTAGCCATACCCAAATCCTCCTCCATAACTGTTCTTCATATGTTTTAATCTCCAGGCTTTTAATCATCCTAGTTGCTCTTCTCTGCACTTTTCCCCAAGGTTAACTTTGGAGAAGTTAGATGAAGGAAGATAGAAGACAAAACCAGCTTTGCAGGGAAAAAGAAACCATTCAACCAGCAAGGACCATTTTCTAGACATTCACTCAAATACACCCTGAAAATGCAGAGGATTGCAAGCTACAGGTAAGTCCTCAACTTACAAAAGTTTGTTTAGGGACCGTTCAAAGTTACAACAACACTGAAAAATTTGAGCGATGACCATTTTTCACACTTATGACATGATAAAAGTTCAAATGCTTGACAACTGGTTCATGTTTATGACAACTGTAGTGTCCTGGGATCGCGTGATAATTTTTTTGCCACCTTCCGACAATCAAAGTCAATGGGGAAGCCAGATTAATTTAACAACCATGATACTGACTTAACAAATGCAGTGATTCATTTAATAACTGTGGCAAGAAAGGTCATAAAATGGGGCAAAACCCACATATTAACTCTCTCCCTTAGCAACAGAGGTTTTGGGCTCAATTGTGGTCATGAATCGAGGATTACTTGTATCGGTTCCCAAGCTAAATTGTGCCAATCAAATCCTTATTCAGCAGCCATGCTAAGA